CCATTCTAATACTCCAATTTCATCTGCAAAAGCCCATTTATTGGATCAAGCCATTCTAAAAGCTTGGATTTGTTGTGATTTTGCTTTCCATACCATAGAAAATCCTTTTATAATTGATTTATTTCAAATTGCTGCACCTGGGTATAATTTACCATCCAGAGAAAAATTATCTGGATTTCTTTTGGAGTCAGAAGCTGCATGGGTAGAACAAAAAGTTGAGTTTGAGCTTGATAATGAAGAAAATCTTACATTGAGTACATATTTATTTATAATTTAAAATAATGGGTTGTTATGTTATGGATTATTAGAATTAAAAACCAATTTTTTCTTAAATATTAATTACAAATGTTTTTTATTCATTATAATTAGGTCTTGATGGATGGACTTCTCCCACCCATGACTCAATATATAATTATGTAGTAACTACACCCAAACGTAAAGAATATTTAATTAAATTAAAAATTTATAACACAGTCAGTCAAACCGGTGAGTTCATGGCAAATGAAATTTCAAGGGTAATTGAAAAGATTGGATTACATAAATTTGCTGCAGTGGTGACGGATTCTGGATCAAATCTAAGAGTAGCAAGAAGAATAATAAATGAATCATATTCACATGTTTTGAGTTTTCAATGTGCTGCACATGCAGCAAATTTAATAGCTTCAGATTTTTGTGAATTGGAGTCAATTAAACCAATTATTTCAAATTGTTCTGTGATTTTAAAATTTTTTCAATCATCTCATATTGCACATGGTTATTATCAAGAACAGTTAAAGGCAATGAAAATCAAAGGTGGTGAAATTAAATCTTATACGAAAACTAGATGGGGATCTTTTTGCATGACAGTGGATTCAATAATAAGATCAAAACCTGTTTTTGATTGGGTAAGGATTTTAATGATAATTCTGGAATTTATATTATTGTTAAATTCTTATATTAATTATTGTTGTTTTATAGATTCTTGATAATTATCCTTCTGTTATTTCAAATGATAATGTGTTCAATTATTTACAAAATGAGGATTTTTATATGAAGTGTCGACAAATTTTTTCCATTTTAAAACCAATAAAAGAATTAACAAATATTTTAGAAGCAAGATCTGCTAATCTAGCTGAT